AATGCCTAGGCGATCATCTGATATGATTCGAATCCACAGTTGTGTTGTAAGGTGAGCAAAGTAGATGTTTCCTGGTAATCCTGTGTGGGTAACTAACACAATGTCAGGTTCAGCATGACCACGGAGGCCATGCAAAGGTCCTGGGCACTGACATCTGACTCAGTGGGGTGCACTTGTCTGAGAGCAGCCCGAGGAAAAGCCACACAAGAGCACTAAGCACAAGCACAAATTACCCCCAAAAGAATCACCAAAAAAAACCTTTTTATTTTTGGGTTATTCAATAACACAAAGAAGATTCCCCTCAACCTGACTTTAAGAATTGTTAGAAAATATTCTATATAGCTAAATAAATATGGCTGAGTAGGAATGCTTTTTAAAAATTTTGTTATTAAATAATGTATGTTACAAGGCTACCCCTTGCTTCATTGTCCCTCATTCTCCCCTTCTATTGGTATTTTGAGAAATGGATATTACATGGAAAAGGTCGTACATTTTTCTAAAACAAAATTTCTGGTATGTATTTAGAAGATGCACAATACAGTTTCATGGCGCGATGAGGCATATGGAAAGGTGGAACGTGAGAGACGGCCGTGCGACAGCCGTGCCCACGGGAGCCTCAGCCCACTGAGGGCTCCCACACCCCGCCCGTGTTCACACACCCTGTCAGCAGTGTCAGGTCTGCAGAACGAGCTCACTAAATCACGCATTATATTCGCCATATGTCTGTATTTAATGTCATCTTCATATATGAGCGTAAAGAAAAAATACTCTGCTTTATAAATGCGCTGTCTTCCATCTTTGCTTGTAGAACTCTTTCCCAACCCCACATCAAACCCTGTCAGACCATTCTCTTGAATTTGACTCGAGTGTGGACATTGTCCTCACATACACACACAAGCACAGACAGATACTAAATGTCCACAGATGTTTTAGCACATAAAAATTTTCTTTTTTCAAAAAGCCAATATACATGGGGATATTTTTTCAGGTACAAGAAACTCTGGAACTTTTTATTCGAACTACTTTGGAAGAAAATCCCTCTCAGGTGCATTACTCATTTTCCTTCATGGTGATCAGATTACCACTGCTTTTCTTGATAGGTCAGGTCATGACTGTAAACATACACTACTGTCTCTGAGAAGAGTAATGCTCTTGAAGATGAGTACCAGCATGGGCAGCGTTTATTCTAGCAGCAGGAGCACTCATGCTTGCATTATTTTGCAGCTTGTTTTATTTTTTTAGTTCAAGTATTTCACTTATTCTACTTTTTTTTTATACCTTGCACTATCTCTGCTTCCAGCTCATTTTGCTCAAACCAGGAGTTGATTGATAAAATGTTGAAGCGACATTTAAAATAGGCCACAAGTATGCCTCTGAGAATTGCTAAACTTTGTTATCTTTCTGGTGCTTAGTTTTGGCTATTCAAGTCTCCCTCTCTTTTAGGACCTAGAGTCCATAGAAATGAGATTGCTATATATATAGGCTTTATGAAAAAAGAATTTGTATCCTCTTTGAAAGATATGATGGCTTCTGAAAGCTCTTTGAGGAGTCTTAGCCCAGTACATTGAAGAAAATGGCTATAGAAACAAAGAACTGTGGGGTGAAGGAATAGATGGTGGAAGAGGGGCACCGACCGAGATGCATTGTGCTTGGAAATTCACATGTTGAGTTAAAAGAATAAAAGAATAAGAACTCATCTTCCTCACTAGATTCAATTCACCTGTCACATCCTGTTTGCTCACATGTCTGTCACATTGTACATTGTGCTAGTGTAATTAGCTCAGTACTGGATAACTGATGTTTGCACACAGGATGTAAGGCAAATTAGGGGCGACTCACACTTCTCAATTTGCTACTATAAAAATACAGTATTCTACATTTGTCCTTGCTTGGAAACACTGTGAATGTAGAAATATATTAGGTGAATATAGAAATATATAGAAATATACATTTCACATGTACTGAAATCAGAAGCAGATAAGAGTAAATGATGACCACTGACACTAGTCAGGTTGACACTAGTGTATATATTTTGAAAACTCCTTAATATTATATATACCAGGATTCAGCTTTCATCACCAAACTGCATGCCATGTTAATCTCTGGTTCAGTGCTTGGGGAAATTAGTAATAAATAAGATTTCTTGGACTCGTCACTATTAAGATGCTTGGGAGTTTTGCTGACACACATACTATTTTTAATGTAGATAATGAATACAGATAATTAATGTTGAGTGAGCAATCAGAACGCCAAACAAACCCACTGTTCACATACAAAAATGAAGGCAATGTGAAATCGTATCAACTTCATTTTTTTTTGAAGATTAAGCTGCTTTTGGATATGCTTAATCTACAACCAAAAGTTTAGTGATATTGAAGAAAGTAAGGCAAGTCTAGGCAATATAAATCTTATTGCAAAGTAATATATGATTTCAGCATGAAAATCATTGTGACTCAAAAGAAAGTTAATGGTGAATAAATGTTTATGGATGATTAGTTTATGGACAATAGAATTGTACAGCAAATAGTACTAGTATTATGGATAATTTGATATACTGTTATTTCAAACAGCCCATTTTATTAGATTCTGAGATTCACTTCAGTTGTTTTGTTGAATTTTCCGAACACATTACGAACAAGTACAGGTATCAATCTTATTATATGTTCGATTAGCAATGCTTTTTAAAATTAAAGATTAATGCTACCGAATAACAGCAGGACAGTTGTTCTTGGCTTTCTCACCCACTCGGGCACAGCCCGGTGACCCGTGGCCGCTCCTGTCTGTCTTTCCTGCTTCTGCTCCATGCTTCATGGCACTTTCAGACAACCATCTCCTCCCTGCTTCCTTTCCCTCCTGTCCCTAGCTTTTGATGCAAGAGATATTTGATTTTACTTTTTGGTAATGTTGGGATTTATCCTTTGACCAAAATCCTATACTTACTGTTTTTAGTTAAGTTTGAAAATTTTTCTTTAGGTAGCTCTACAAAGGGGTTTCAATTCAAAATTTGAGTATCACCCCTGAGATTGCTCTCCCGTTGTCCTCACAGGCTTCCCCACGCCTGTTACCCGGTTCATTTACGCAGGTGCACACTGCCCGGGCCGTTTTCCTCTCTGGACCCCTGATCTCCCACCCCGCTTCCCGGTATTCATTGTGTTAAACTAAATTCAACTGTGCTCAAAGGACTCGGCACTGGATTCCTCCCCTGGCCGACCTGTACTTCAGTCAGATCATTTGTGTATCTATGCAAATGACTCTGTACATGTTGTTACACATGTGTATAATTCAGTCTGACTTTCACATAGAAGTCAGGCTCAGAAAGACATGATATTTGCTTGCTTGCTTTTTATTCTCACTGCTCCCAGAATGCAAATGCTCACTCTGTTTCAGAAACAGCACAGCTTCTGAAATTCATTTTGGAGGCAAGTCTGGGTCCCCAGGAAGCACTAAAACAGCTCAAACTGGCGGGTGAGCCTGGGTGAGCTCAGTAAAGGTGTACAGACACAGCATCTGCACACTGTGGAAGTACATGCTTTCCAGATGGCAGCTGCCCATTTCCATGCCCATACCCCTTCACGTTCAGAGTACTGTGAATAGTTAGCTCTGCCTCATTAAAACCTGAGGCCACAGCGGGATTCCCTTGGGGATTAAGGACTTCAGAAGAAATGAAGGGTTTTTTTTTTTTTGTTTTGTTTTGTTTTAAATACCACCAAACCCATCAACTACAAGAGACACAATGTTCTGTATCAGTGGAACCACGCTAGGGGACTGACCAAACAGGACTTTCCCTGACCATGCATTAAAACTCAGACATTCTGAATAACAATGCGAGATAAAATATGGACTTGAAGACATCATTATTTTATAGCTCTTCGGCTTTATGAGAAGACAATGACTGGATGACAAATAAAAGAAAACCTTTCTGATTCATAGTAACATTAAGAGAGGAGTCTTTAAAAACCAAACCTGTATCTGTACAGGTAATGAAGAAAATTTTCTTCACTCTTGCCAATGTTTATCATTTTTCTTCAACGACAAATAGGCCACATGACAAATACAACTATTGTGGCTCCATGCATATAGGGCAGCAAGCAAAAGTATGTGTAGGTTTTGCTTCTCTGTGTAGTTCTGATGGCTAAAGGCATCTAAAGGGAGGGATCAGCGTGCGTGTGTTATATGCGTCGCTGCTGAGCCGCTCCTGGGTCAGGAGGCAGGTAGAAAAAGCCCGGCCTCAGGTGATTCAGGGAGAGTCAGCCCCTGCTTGGGGTGCAGGGCACCAAAGGAGCTCCGAGTTCTTATCAACAATGCAGAGGAGACAGTAGAGACTGTGTTATTCCCAGGATCACCATAGAATACAATTTCAAAATTCATTCAAAAGCTCTGTACTGGTGATCACACCTGTAATCCTAGCTAGTCAGGAGACTGACATCTGAGGATCGTAATTCCAAGACTCCTATCTCCAATTTACCACCAAAAAGCTGTAAGTAGAGCTGCGGCTCAAGTGATAGAACACCACTAGCCTTGAATAAGATAGCTCAGGGACAGTGCCCAGAGCCAGAGTTCAAGTTCCAGTATCCATAAAAAGAAAGAAGAAAAGAAAGAAAGGAAGGAAAGGGGGGGAAGAGAGAGAGAGAGAAAGCGCAAATAGATTTGAATTGGATAGCAAGGAGCATTTGGCAAATGGTGAACAAAGTACACTTTATCCTTTGTGTGAGCACACACACGCACGTGCGTGCACACACACATGCAGACACGCAAAGAGGACTAAGGCATCATGCACACACACGAAGGTGGACACAAATACATGTGTGCATGTGTATGAAGTATGTGTGTGCAGAGAATACACGCAGCAGGTTGTCTCAGGCTCAACAGCGAGTACCCACAGTGTATTGTCCACACCACATAAGGATACAGCAGTGGCGTTGCCGCTGAACCCTGGGACACAGATACTTGCAAGCCTTTTTTAGTTTCAGAATGACTTGTAAAAATACCCTACTTCTTACCTACATTTCCAGTCATTAAGTATGAATTCTGGAAATCCATCATCCCCACTCCAACAACGTGTATAAAATCTTCAATCACCTGCATCAACTCGATTGAGCCTGGATAAATCTAGAAAAACAAACAGGAAAGAGTTAGATGGGATAGAAAGTTTATAAAGTGGGAAACAGAACTGGAATGAGAAGAACTCCACAGGATGAGGTCACGCATGAGCTTTGTTTTATCTGAGCAAGGTCTGCAGTGGGCAGCAGCTGCATTTTTCAAGTTCATAGTTGACAATGATACTTGGAGTCACCCACAAGAACCTGGGTGGGCACGCAGTGTTCATTAACCCTCTGCGAATCTAAGGACACAGAAAGTGTCTAGCAGATGGTGTGCTTGGGAATAGCGTGACTTTATTTCTGGTGGACTCCTCCTCCCACTCGCGCATAACATCACAGATCCTGAAATCAGGCCCTTGACACCTTTATTTTAGTATCCATCTGGGGACAGGGCCGGGTGCCAGAGGCTCACACCTGCAAGACTAGCTACTTGGGAGGCTGACATCTGAGGATCATGGTTTGAAGCCAGCCTGGGAAGAAAAGTCTGTGAGCCTCTTATCTCCAACTCACCACCAAAACATCAAAAGTGGAGCTGTGGCTTCAATAGTAGAGCACCAGCCTTGAGTGACCAAGGTGAGCAAGGTGGGAGGGCCTCAGTTCAGGCTGCAGTGCCGTCAGAGCAAAGAAAAATATGGGCGTCACAGGAAGAGGGAAAAAACAATGGCTACTGCTATTACAAAACTATCCACAAATATTAGATGTACTGCACAGTAAGGATCTTGAATCAGAAACATTTATTTCTAATAATTATGATCATCAAGAATGAGTAACACATTTAGGTCTGTATTCATAGTTTCAAGGTGGACAGTTTACACTGAGCATACAAAAAGCTAATCTACGGTGAGACGCAGCAGAACCTATAGAAGGATGGCTGCTGGGTGCCGTCACTGCCCCTGCTGCTGAGCGTGGCAGCAGGGGGTCTCAGAGCTCACCAGCTATCAGCTGTCTACCTGAATGATTAACCTCCTCCAGCCTCTGCTGCCTTAGGCAGAGCTCTGCCTGCAGGATCCCAGGGAGACTTCTTCACACCCCACCCTGTACTGCCCTGCCCCGCCCCGCCCTGCCCAAGTGCTGGCGCCACACTATACCAGGCCATGTGGTGGGTGACAGCTACCTGTAGTGTTCACAGCAGAGACCGCTTCAAAGGGCGTGTGGATTGCGTCCCGTGTAACCCGTAAAGCTTAAAAAGCTGCCTGTGCTAGGTAACTAGGTAGCAGAGCAAGAATTCTGTACACGTTGGGCTACAGCTGCTGTGGGTTCTAATCACAAGAGAGGATGTGCGTTAGAGAGCCGAGCTGCTCTGCGTTCCTGTCAGGAGGGGCAGAAGAAAGCAAGGCCACAGCTGAGACCAGGAGAGGAAGAGCCGCTGGGTAGAGCCGGCTGCAGGCATGGGCCAGGGTCTCCCAGGGCTTTGTGGCTAAGCTCATGGAAAAATCAGACCCTAGGCATCTGGAGGGGAGGGGTGAGTTGGGAGAGAAGGGGAACACCGTGGACTGTCCTGACACACCAAATTGCATAACTATGTACTTTGTAAGTAACATTCCCCTCTCCAAGTTTTGACACTGTCCACTGTGAGCTACTGGACACTTCAACAATGGGTGTTTCCCTTTAAAACTTGGGGTGAAGATAACCCAGGAAGAATTGGGAAATCAATCACATTTGTTTACTATGCTTTGATCTCTAAATTCTGGAAGGTCAGTGACCTCATTTCAAGAATGAAAATATGTGTCTTTTGGCCCTAAAGTTTCCTAATATTAATGTATGTGTCCTCTTTCTTTGTATGAATAGGTGTAATACACAAATAAAAAATAAGAATCGTGCCCAGCGCCGGTGTCTCATGTTGTGATCCTACTCTGGAAGCTAAGATTCAGAGGATCATAGTTTGGCAGAAAAATTCACCAGATTCCAACTCCAAAGTACTCAGCAAAGAGTCAGGATGGTGGTGTGACTCATGTGGTAGAGTGCAAGCCAGCAAGGCTCTGAATTCAAACCCTATTACTAGAAAAACAAAACAAGCTACAGTGGGTTTCTTCAATAGAACAATGAAATACAAAGAATATATGGCTGAGACCTTATTTGGTGTCAAAAACAGAGCTATGGAAAAGCATCTTTCTCAATTCAGGAGGACATGCTCATATGACAATGTTTTATATAAACATTTTGGTCCTTCATAACAAAGGCAGATGTTCTGAACTGGCTCTGTTTATTTAAAGATACATAGTTTGATTGCAAAAATAATTTCAACCAGTCAGTTTTCCAAATCCACAGTTAGCTCCATTTTATGTTTCAGACTTTCCTGCTCCAGCTGGTTTTGAAACACCACCCTTAGATCTCAGCCTCCTGAGTAGCTAGGATGACAGGCATGAGCCACTGATGCCACGTCTATTTATGGTATCCCCCCCTTCCCCCCCCGTTCCTGGGCCAGGGCACTGTCCTTCAGCCTCTTTGTGCTCAAGGCTGGTGCTCTACCTCTTGACTCACAGAGCCACTCCTTGCAGTTTACTGGTAATGTGAGTCTCATGGACTTTTCTCCCTGGGCTGGCTTTGAACCACGATCCTCAGATCAAACAGCTCCTGGCTGTTTGTGATAAATTTTAAGTATCTTCGCCTTTTGTTGATAAGTTTTTAACCAGTCCACCTTTTGTGAAATCACTTTTAGGAGCAGCCAGAGAATGTATCTTTTAAATAGTCATTTTTTAAAAGAAAAGCAATAAGGATTACTACTTCTAAAAAATTAGTTTTTCAATGAAAATAGAGCTAACCCCCAATCACTACTCTGGTGGATTGTGGATTCCAGTCTTAGCACCATTCTCTATTTGCTCAGAAAGCCCTATGTGGCAAACGCAGCCTGGTGTGCAACAGGAAGTCATACATTTCTTCTAAATTCGTCCATAATGCATGGTTTCCAGCAATCCAGAAAGTTGTGAGCAGCCCCCACAGCTGGCTCTTCTCATGGTGAGTGAGGGAGGTGTCAGGATGCAGCCCAGGCCCCATAAGCAGCTCAAACCAGCAGGAAAGGGCAGACCAGGGACTGAAACTGAGGCATAATTTTATTTCCTTTGCTACGGCCGGAAGAACATAGATTCTACCTGATGATGACAACTTTGTGTGTGTGCATCTGCATGTTTGTGTGTATGTGCACACACACACACACACACACACACACACACACACACATACACACACACCAGTACTAGAGCTTAAACTCAAGGACTAGACATTGTCCCTTAGCTTTTTCACTCAAAGCTGGTGCTCCCCCCACACCTTCAGCCATGCCTCACTTCCAGGATTTTGCTGGCTAATTGGAGAAGAGGGTTTTATGGGCTTGCTGGCCAGACTGGACATCCTCAGACCTCAGCCTCCTGACAGCTAGGGTTACAGGAATGAGGCACTGGTGCCTGGCTTCCACTGTGGGTTTATAAGCACTGCTGAGTACCCTTCCTGTGCAGATCTGTAACCCGCTGTCCTGAAGCTCGGGAGATGGTCTCCCGCCCGTGCGCCAGCCAGTGGCACCGAGGGCACTGCCAGGCCAGCGGAAACAGGGGTGCCACTGGCCAGGACTCCTCTGCTGCGCAAGCACGCACAGGGAAGGCAGAACTCAATCAATGCTCAGAACGCATGCTCCCAAGAAAACTCATTTTACAACTCTTGTCGCTAAATAAAGATGCACCTCTGTAGATACGACCCAGATTTTATAGGCTATCAAATCAGACACCAATGATTTTTGTCAGTAAAGACATATACTTTTGTTTTGATGGATGCTTTTGGGGTTTCTAATTTTCCCATTGTCTGTAGACAGGAAAGGAATGGGTTACGAAAGCATATGGTTATTATTATGCACACATCTGTTAAAGTTATAAATCGCTTAAACCTGCACAGTGCTTCCACGTGTATAAACACCATTCGTCTGGCAGAGCATTATAACAGATCATGTGTTTTCTCTGAAAGTATGATTTAATCATCTAAAATGATTTTGGGGTCGGTACTGGGGATTGAACTCAGGCCCTGCCCTCTTTCCTGGCTTTATGCTCAAAGCTGGTGCTCTATCACTTGAGCCATACTTCCATTTTCAGATTTTTTGCTGGCTAATTAGAGATAACATTTTCATAGACTGGCTTCCAACCACGAACCTCAGATCTCCCCTTCCTAGACAGCTAGGATTAAAGGCATGAGCCCTAGCACCCAGCCTCTAGGTGACTTTTCAAATCCTTTCATCTGCTGAGCATAGCAGGTCATTAATGTCTCCATGCATGTCTTGCACTGAATTCAACTGTGCTTATTGTAAACTTTCAAAACCCCCACCTTACCTGCTGTGCATCTTCCCATTTTTCCTTGTTTTCTTCATCTAGAAGGTTGCTAACTATTTGAAAGAAGTTCTGTAAATTAAATTAGATAAAGTAGTTTAGTATTGCAGGCAAGAATATACTTTCTGACAACCCCCATTTGGAATGAGTATGTGGTAATGCCATAAGAACATTGTAGTATTCCCTTACAATCTCAACATACTCTAGGCCTCTGTAGTGCCCTTTGCTGTACATCATTCTAGAATTCCTGCACAGCTTTATATCTTCATCCACTCTGGGAGCAATGATGGGAAATCTTTTCTTTACTATCATTTGTCCTATTACAATCTCTATATGCAAAGCAGTAGACAACTGTATAGTAACTCCTCACAAACGTGTTTTATTCTTTCTGTAAGGAGAGTTGACTGTGTTTGTCCTGTCGCTGGTTTTCCTGTCCACTTAACGCCATGATTGCTATGACTTTCATGATTGTTTCAAAGACCATTACAGAGAGCCCTGGACTCTGGGCAAAGCTGAGGAGCCAACAGCTCCTTTGGACGGAGGGAGCTCTTCTCTTTCTTTCTACTCTACTTTTAGTTTTGCAGAAGGTATTGAGAATGTTCGATAAAAATGTGCTTTATCAAAGCTGTTTTTAATGATGTTACTGGAGAATGTGCTCTTTCCGGATGATGCTTGGGAAACCAAAAAATATATCACAATGGAAAGAAAGAGAGACACGGAGAAGGAAGGGAGGGAGGGAAGGATAAAGGGAGGAAGGGAAGAAGGGAAGTTTCTGGGAAAAAAGCACATTAGCACATGCGAGATGCTTAATAAACTTATTCTCTCTCTTTCTTACACACACACACACACACACACACACACACACACACACACACACACACACACACACACACACACACACACAGAACACAGAGAGCATGCCTGGGATTTAAACTCAGAGCCTCACGCTTGCTAAGCAGATGTTCTACTACTTTGAGCCACAACTGTTTCTAGCTTCTTGCTGGCTCATTGGAGACAAAAGTCTGAAGGACTTTCTTGCCTGAACTGGCTCTGAACTGCAGTCCTCCTATCTCAGCTTCCTGCGCTGCTAGGATCACAGGTGTGAGCAGCCAGTGTCCTGCTGGCACCACGGACTGCAGAGATGGAGTCTGCTCAGTGGCGAGTGGCATCTGTCCTTGGTCTCCAGCCTTTCTTCCTGTGTGGAGGTAACTCAGGAGCAAGGCTTCCTGCTCTCACGCCAGCTCAGGGCAGCTCCCCTGAGGTGGAAATGGTCACTTTCAGTCTCATCTCTCCCTCTCCTTCTCACTTTTCAAAACTGGGTTTTGTTCTAATTCCAAGTAAGTTCACCTGAGTGTCGTTTCACAAAATCAAAGCTGCTTCATTTTCTTGGATCTTGTGATCTGGAAGACTCTGGCATCTAAATTTAATTGCCCTATTTTAATAGTCCCCAGCAATCACATGATAAAAACATGTTTGGAGCTATAACCTCTAAAAGTTTCAGAGTCTTTGGTGCAGCTCTTTTGAAAAACAAAAACAAACAAAAAAGACAACAAGTCTTTCTTTTAAACGCGTTTTCTACTTGTTTAACTTTGTGGCACTAACAGCCCTCTTTCCACTTGGAATGCCTTGCTTGGAGTGTTTCCATCTTGAGGGCCTTGTCCAGCATTCTGTTACTCTGCCTGTAGGCAGAGGACTGACTTCCAGGTCGGGCTTCCCAGTTGCCCCTGGCCAGTTGGCTTAGCGGGGGATGTGCTGTCATGGGCCGGTGTGGCTCTGCCTCTGGGGCTCTGTGGGGATAACTGTGGGGAAACAGAGTCATCCTATCCCTCCTGCACATGAATGCCTGCCCCTAGCAGATCCTAACACAGGCCCAGATTAAAGAACTGAGCTGGGAGGAAGGAGGCCGGGAACAACTCAAAACCCAGTCCTGAGAAGAAGGGGAGACACTCAACCTTCCAGAAACTAGGTGAGTACACAAACAACAAGAAAATACCAACAGCCAACTGAACTGCTAAGGAAGGAGATGCGGGAGATGAGAGTGATTCCACACAGAGATGGAAGGCAGGGAGAGCCCATGACCCTGATGCAGCACACGGCCAGGAGCCTGGGCAATGGGAGGAAGGACTCAGAGCACGGTGAGGACCAGAAGAGCTGGGCCAGTCAAGGAAGTGAGAAGCGCTCTGCAGTTGGCAAGGGGCAAGCAAGAACTGTGTACTCAGTGGAAAGATCCAATCTCTGTCTAGCAGAATGAGGGAGAAAAAAATAAGAGCTGAAAGTCTGATGAGTGCACACAAAACTCCCAGCAGACCAGACCAGAGATGTAGTGTTAAAACAGGGGCGGTGCAAAATAAGCAAATAATATTGAAAGCAGCAAAATTAGAGGGAACTCACTTAGAATGGAAAGAGCAATGGAATATCTGCAGATTGCTCAATGGAAGCTCTCAGTGCATGAAGAGTCTGGAAAGATAGAAGTCTAACTCTGAAGGATAATCCATGTCCACTCAGACCAGTTTACCCTGAGAGGCTCTCACAGAGAAACAAACACATGATTTTACATCTAAAAGACTGGAGGCTGCACCCCAACCTCACTGGGTCTGAAGAGTAACTGACAAGGGAACAGCATGCAAAATCAACACACAAAGCCAGAAGCTTTTCTCTACACCAACAATGCACAAGCAGAGAGGAAAACCAGGAAAGCAATTCCATTTGCAATAGACTCAAAAAAATAAAATATTTAGGGATAAATCTGACCAGGGAGGCAAAAGCTCTCTATAGTGAGAAGTATAAAAACCCAAAGAAGGAAATCAAAGATGATGTCAGGAAATGAAAAGGCCTCTGTGCTGGTGGATAGGTAGAATGATCTCTCAAGACTAGCTGTCCTGCCAGAGGCCCGCTACAACTTCAATGTACCCCATCAAATTCCCAGTGCTATTCTTCACAGAGAAAACAATCCAAAAACAATCCAAAAATTCATATGAAACCACAAGAGACCTGCAATAGCCAAAGCAATTCCAAGCAAAAACCAAAAACCTAACCAAAACAAAAACAAAAACAATTCTGGAGGCATCACAATCCCAGACCTCAAATTTTACTATAGAACTATCATAACAAAAACAGCTTGGGACTGACATATAAACAGGTATGAAGATAAAATGAAATGGACCAGAAGATTGATAAACAAACCCATCTATATACAGCCCTCTGATATTTGACAAGGGAGCCAAATATATATTTGGGTTTCTTAAATAGGAAAACTGGTCTTCACATGTAGAAGAGCAAACCAGACCCCTGTCTGTGGCCTCACACTGATGTCAGCTCAGACTGGACCAAAGACCTCAGGTCAGACCTGAAACCCTGCAGTTATGGCAGGAAGGAACAGAAGAAGCTAGAACCCACTGTCACGGGCAGGAGCCTTCTGAGTAGAGTTCCCAGGACTCAGCACACAGAAGAGAGAAGAAGTGGAATTATATCAGAATAGAAAGTTCCTTCACATCCAATGACAAAGTTATGAACTGAAAAGGCAGCCTTCAGAATGGAAGTCTTCACCAGCTACATATCAGATGAGGGCCTCATATCCAGAATATAAAAGGAGCTCAAGAAACTAACCCTCCTGAAATGGATGGAGCTGGAACAAATCATGTTAAACGAGGCAAGCCAAGTTCAGAGAAAGAAAGGGTACGCGTTTTCTCCAACAGGCAGAAGTTAGATCTAAAATACACTGAAATGTGGTAAATTACACAGGGTTCTAGAGACTCACACACAGTGAGGCCAAATGAGGAAACACAAAGCAATGCCCATGTGCCTCTTTATGTTTATGTAAAATATTATATGCATATATTGAAACAAATTCAAAGACATGAAACATGAAAGAGAGCCTTATTAAACTTTGTGTTTGATAGTTTTGTGTCTTTTGTTTATGTATGGTTTATTTGTGTCTCTGAGGGGGAGGAGAGGCACAAAACTCAAGGGGAAAGGGGTGAGGAACACAGCCGTGGTGCTCACTGGACACTGTGATGAAGGTGAGCTGCACAACTTGTGGGGGGGAGACGGGATGGAGGGGCTGGGAGAGAGCGAGGGAAGGGGAGAGAATATACAAAGGGAAATGTCCTCATTACCTGACTTCTGTAAGTGCCTTCCCTCTGTGATCACCTTTATATTAACAAGTAAATTAAAAAGAAACTAACCCTCTTAAAAATTAATAACACATTAGTAATGGGCAAAGTGGCTAAACAGAGACTTCTCAGGAGGAGGAAGGACAAATGAGGAAATGCTTAACATCCTTGGCCATAAAGGAAATGTAAATCTAAACAACATTGAGATTCCATTTCACCGCAATAACAATAAATGCCGGCAGGGATGTGGGGAAAAGGAGCCTGTTAAACTGTTAGTGGGAATGGAAACAGTGCATCCATTCTGGAAGGCAGTCTGGAGACTCCTCAGAAGACAGACCTGGGACTGACAGTGATCCTGGGATCAAATCAGAGCAGTACACGCCAGGACACCGTAAGACACCTGCACGCCCATGCTCACTGCTGCACTATCCACAACAGCCAAGAGCTGCAAACAGCCAGATGCCCCACAACAGATGAGTGAACCAAGAAAATGTGGTGCATGTACACCATGGAATTTTACTTATCCACCAGAAAGAATAATACTATGACATTTGCAACACAATGATGGACCTAGAAAAATTACATAATGTGAAGTCAGGCTCAGAGTGACAAATGGCACATGTTTTCCTCATATGTGGGGAGTTGGATCTAAAATCTGCACAGACATATTTACACATGCAGCATTATACCCATATCCACACATGCACAGTCACCAAGTGGCAGTATGTTTGTGGGGAGAGTCCAATGGGGAAGCCTCACTCCTCTGAACCACAAACCACTCCACAAAATGAAGATCAGGAAGCTGAGACATGTTGGGGGCGGGCAGCTACGAGGGGGAGTGGGCATGCGTGGAGGGAGGAGCAAGCAAATGCAGTCATTGTATTCAGTGTATGCTATGTAAAAACTGACCTAAGGAAGTTCCAGAAGTACTACTAAGTGGGCATGGTAGCACATACCTGA